AAAAATATGCCTGCACTCAAATGTTTATAGCAGCACAGTTCCCAATTACAAAGATGTGGAACCAACCCAAGTGCTCGTCAATACATGAATGGGTTAAATGTGGTATATGTACCCCATAGAATATTACTTAGCCCAAAGAAGGATGACTTATTGCCTTTTGCAACAATATGACTGGAACTGGAAATCATTATCCCAAGTGAAGCATGGAAAAACAACGCCCCATGTTCTCCTTATTAAATTGGAAGTAACTAATCAGCACACATTATGCATAGAGGGTACTAAAACTCAGCTGAATTCAAGTAGGTATGATGGGGAAGGGGGAGATGGTTGAAAATCTACCTAACAGGTACAATGAACACTATCTGGGTGACAGCACACTCATAGCCCTGACTCAAGCATTACAAAAGCAATCCATGTAGCCAAAAACATTTCTACCCCTACAATATTTTGAAATTTAAGACAAATTTTAAAAATTAAAAAAATTAAAAGACAAACATTTTTATAGCCCTCCTTCTTTTAATTAGCTCCCCTTCCACTCTTCTTACCGTAGTGAAACTTCTTGAAAGAATCTCATTTCCTTGCCACATCTGTGTTCAGACTTCCAGTTAATTCTTCAGCCTTCTTGATTCTGACTTCTATCCTTTCATCTTACTATTACTGTTTTTTTGCTAAGGTTGCCAAGACTTTCGTGGTTACCATATCCAATGGGCACTTTTTATTCTGCTTTTGTTTTTGCTACCATTGACCATTAATTTCTTTATAAGATACTCACATTTAAACATTATAAAAGGCTTAAAATGCTCCATTCATCCACACTAAATTCGGATTCTTTGCCTGCTAATTAGAAGGCTTATCCTCCCATAGTGGGAACATGAGGTCTGCCCTACTGTGTGATAACATTTGGCAGTTATGTCATTGAGTTCTTGAAAGGAGGAGGACAAGACTAACTTGAGGCCCATGACAAGGATGTTGCCTCAGGTACATATGGATTAAACATAGGTACAGCAGTCGCTTAGGCCTTCTAGACCTGTTCTTGGCAAGGGTAGAGCTACTAGACTTAACTGTTTGCTTACCAGAAGGTGTCTTTTGGATAAAGGGCTATAAAAAATCTGACCACTTAGGGCCTTTGGGGACCTCTAAGGAGGTAAATTGAATGGGTGCTGGTCTCTTCTCTCTGGATATATTCAATGAAGTGAATTTGATCTCCATTAAATTCTCAATCATGGGGTAGTTATTCTTTGCAGGAACCAACTTGCTAAAGTAGTAATCACAAGAGGAAGATTGCCAAAACCTAGATGCTCCTTCTATGGAGAAGGCATTGTTTTAGATTTGATACCATCAGGCTGGTCTGTGTTGGGGACAGCCAGGCTCAGGAGGAGCTCAGCAGGGGTTTTGGAAGCCTGAAGCCACAACAAGGGGTACACCAACCCCTCCCCTTTCCTGAAGAAGTTGACTAGAGAACAGAGTTCAAACAAGATATCCAAATTAAGAGAGCCAGAAGCAGATGAAAGTTGAAGAGCCATAGAGATATTAACAGGAAGTAATAGGTTGAGCAATGGAGTATCCATTAATTCATTCATGAAACATTTGAACACATCTACTATGTGTTTGACTCTATTAATATTCTGAAGATAAAGACTTAAGACACATTGCCAGCTCTTAAGGAGCTTTCAGTCTTGTGCAAGAATGCACACACACAGCTGATGGTGATACAGTTTGGTAAGATTAGGACACAGGTTAACATAGAGATCTCAAGGGTGTGAAATATATATTCTAATGTTCAGGGAAGGTTTCCCACAGTAAATAATAATCATGGGCTGATATTTCAGCAGTGAGATAAGCACTGGTTAGCCACACATAAAAGGCGGTCAGGAGGGACAAGTAGTATTAGGTCTCTTACTCTGAAGCATGAAGCTAAGAGGAGCAGCCTTGTTTAAAGAGTTGGCAATTGGAAGACTATATTTTCCACAAGATTGTTTTTATCTGTTTGCTCCTTAAATGTTGGTAGTTCAAAAATTTTATCCAAGCTCCTCTTTTCTTGGTTTACATGCTTTCACTTGGCAATCAAATCCATGGCCAAATCTTTAAATAATATCCCTAAGAGGATGATACCCAAACCTGCTATCTTCTACCCTGGAGACACCTTCTTTTCAAAAAAATTGTACAACTTTAAGGGTTACATGTGTACACGTGGACTTAGGGTGTGGAATGACACATCAGAGATTTGAAAGGGTGGGGAGGTGCCCTGGGATATCTCTGAAACTCCAAACCTATATTACTGACCACAAAAATCTCCAGCTGGTTATTTAATCAGCATCTCCACTTAGAATGGGTTCATACACAGAGTCATCATTTTTTTTCTCTAATCCTCCATATCATCTTTAGTGTCCTAGTTTGTAAAACTCTTCACTCACAGGGATCAGAAACCTAGAAGCGATCATTTTCAACTTTTCTCTCAACCTTACTCTTACATTTACTCTCATAAATTACATTGGTCTCACTTTCTAAATATTTCTCTACTTGGTAATATTTTTTTCAGATCCTTACTTCCTGAGCTAGCCTTTGTTATCTCTCAGCTGGACCACTGTCACAGTCTCCTGGAATCTTCTTGCATTTAGCCTTAACCAACTCCAGTTCATAGATAGTAGACCAATGTTATCCCGAGAAACACACTTCTGATTATGTCACATTCCTACTCAAATTTCTTCCGTGACTCCCCTACATGAAAAGAATAATGTCCAAGTTCCTTACAGGTATTTATTCACTATCCTTTACATAACGGCCTTTCTTTATGGTTTCAAGTTTTATACCAGTGGACACTTCTTTCTTCTTTCCTTATGTTCCAACAATACTGAATTCTTTTGATTTCTACATAAAATAGAAATGGCCATGTACTTGTGTATTTATTACAGTTGCTTAGAAGATTATATCCCTAGTGCATGCTAGGTCAGCTGGCATATATTGAAGACTTATTGTTCAATTATTATCTCCTCATTCTTTTGAGGCAGAGTGCTGCCCTGCTCTCAAATACAGTTGTTTCTTGTGATACATATATTATACCATACACCATACTGCATTGCCATTTTGTTTTCTTTTTCTATTTTTTTTTTTTGAGACAGAGCCTCAAGCTGTCCCCCTGGGTAGAGTGCTGTGGCATTACAGCTCACAGCAACCTCCAACTCCTGGGCTCAAGCAAGTCTCCTGTCTCAGCCTCCCAAGTAGCTGGGACCACAGGCGCCCACCACAATGCTTGGCTATTTTTTGGTTGCAGCCGTCATTGTTGTTTTTTGGTGGGCCTAGGCTGGATTTGAACCTGCCACCTTAGGTGTATGTGTCTGGTGCCTTAGCCACTTGAACCACAGGCGCCGAATCACCATTTTGTTTTCTTAAACCCTCTCTTCAACTAGGCTGTCAGTTCCTTAGGACAGAGTCCATGTTTGCTAGTCTGTGTCTATGTATTTCTTGAGTACTTAGTGGCAGGCATTTTTCCCAGGTGTTCATTATAAAAGAGCCGAAAAACAAAATAGTCTTCGTTTGGTTTACATTTCAGTTGGAAGAGACAGACAACATGTAAACGCACAAACAAGAAGATAATTTAAAATACTCAGATAAGTATCACCAAAACAGTAGGATAATTCAGCAGATATGGGGACATGGGAGGGAGAAACCAGCGCCACTTTTAGGTGGGGTGAAAAAGAAAGGCAATGTCTCTTTAGTTTTTATATATTGATGACAAGAATACTACCTGGAATATGTTTAATACTCAAGTAAATATTTCTTAAATAAACTTGAAAGAGCTTTTTTGGTGAGAAAAATAATCTTTGATATGGTGTATTTATTAACACCACTGGTTATTGCTGGCTACTATCAGAATATAAATTTTATATTAATATACATATTTCACACCAATAACTTCATTTATGTAGAAAGTCCATGGTATATAATGTTGTAGATAGTTGTATCTTTATAGACTATTCTGTGACCCAATTCTATGTTTAAAAATAAATTTCTTAGCTCAGAACAGTCTCCGATTAAAATCCATACATGCTTTCAGTTAGGGTTGCAGAAAGTAACAATACTTTAAAATAAGAATTTTCTAGGTTAAATGATATATTCAGCAATGTCACCTTCTTTTCCGATCTTATTTCAAAAGGAAAATGAAGTGAAGTTTTTTGTTTTTGCAGTTTTTGGCCAGGGCTGGGTTTGAACCCACCACCTATGGCATATGGGGCTGGCGCCCTACTCCTTTCACCACAGGTGCCACCCTTTTTTTTTTCTTTTTTAGAGACAGTGTCTCACTCTGTTGCCCAGGCAGGCAGCTGTTTGCAGGAGTGCAATCATCGCTCATGGCAGTCCAGCACCTCTCACTCCTGGCTTCAAGTGATCTTCCTGCTTCAACCTCCTACAGCGCTGAGATTACAGGCATGAGCCACTGCACTTGGCCAATAATTTTATGAGGGTTAAGTAAATGCTCTTGATCAAAAGCTTAGGTTATTATTCTGTTTACAAAGATTGAAAAAAAAAAAAGGATTAAATTCTAAGACAACTTTGGTACAATAGCATTCTTCTTCTTATGATTACTACTATCACTATAGTTATTTATACATTTAATTTAACTTGTTTGTTGGGTGCTTCCTCAATCCTAATTGTGGTTCATGCTTTATATGCATTATATCAACTTGTCCAGTGATCCTAAGAAGTAAAATTTATTTCCACATTTTACAAGATGAGAAAACTAGGTTACAGAATTTACAGCCTTCTCCAAGTCACACAGCCTATATATATTTTCCTAATCTGTTGCTTCATCCTTTGTAAATTCTTAAAACTTCAGATGCTGAAACTCTAACTCTGAGCATTTATAACCACGTTTTTCTCTTTCCTTTTTTAGTGTATCCACACATAGCGAGAATCAAGATGGTAGCAATTATCAGTTATTAGCAGACAAACATTTGTTGATGATGTAAGTGCCCAATCAGCAATGTGAAAACATGTTTGCTCACCTGAAGGCCCGAATGGTGGTGAGTCCTTCAGCTGTTTCTGAGAAGTGGCAAAGCAGAGGGAGCTGGGTGCTGTCATCAAGTTCCTGGAGATCTCTGAGACAGAGAGAGAGGCAAAAATAAACACCTGCACACTTCTGGGCTCAAAGACCATCATGTTTGTTCTAAATAAAGGTGACTCATTGCCTTTGTATTTGCCATTGTAACTATTTCCTCCTGCCACATAATTAGTGAAAGTTTCAACAGCTTCCACTCTAAAGAGGAAGAGAAGATGGGTACATAAAAAATACAGGTTGAATGGAGCTGGAGAATGTTCTTCTGAGCAAAGTATCACAAGAATGGAAGAAAAAGTATCCAATGTACACACCCCTATTATGAAACTAATTTATACC